TCCGCTTGTGGGCGCGAGAGCGCGGCTTCGAGCTTCCGGCGCAGTCCGAGGGCGAGGGCTGCGCCGTGCGGTGGCTTTGCTTGACGGCGTTGCTTCGCGAGTCCAACCCCCGGCGAGGGCGGCGGGAGGCAGTCGGCACAGCCTCTTCATTGACGGCGAGGGGCGGCTCTCGTCGTGCGGCACAGCAGCGCTGGTCCACGACCCATCGCCACTCGGCCACGGCGAGGGCGTGACGCGGCTCAACACACCGACCCGCATCCCGTCAACGCTGGGTGATGAGGGCGCCGTGAGCGTGTCGGCTGGAGCTGGCCACAACCTTGCCATCACCGCCGACGGCGCTGTGGAGCTGGGGCTTTGGAGGCCAGTTGGGCCACGGCAATCGGCAGGCCCAGTGGCAGCCGACGAAGGTCGAAGGCTTGGCTGGCCGGCGTGTCGTCGGTGTCTCGGCTGGAGTGTTTGCCACAGTCTAGCCCTCACCGCCGACGGAGCTGTCTTTGCCTGGGGCCATGGAGGCGATGGCCGGGGGGGCCACGGCGACGAGCAGAACCAGCTGCTGCCCAAGAAGGTCGAGGCCTTCGCGGGGCGGCGCGTCGTCGCTGTGTCCGCTGGAGCGCACGACAGCTTCGCCATCACCGCCGACGGCGCTGTCTGGAGCTGGGGCTCTGGAGCCTTTGGCAAGTTGGGCCACGGCGACGAGCAGGAGCAGCTGCTGCCGCAGAAGGTCGAGGCCTTGGCTGGCCATCACGCCACGGCGATGAGCAGGACCAGTTGTTGCCCAAGAAGGTCGAGGCCTTTGCTGTCCAGCGCGTCGTCGCTGTGTCGGCTGGAGCGTACCACAGCCTCGCCTTCACCGCCGATGGCGCCGTCTTTACTTGGGGCGAGGGCGGACGCGGCTGCCTTGGCCACGGAGTAGACCTGTCTAACCAGCTATTGCCCAAGAAGGTCGAGGCGTGGGAGCCTCCAGGGGCGGCGCAGTAAACCAGGTTTACTGTATTCGGGGCCGCGCGCGCTGACGCTCTCTCGTCTCTGTGCACCGCTGCACCGTGTGTGGACGACTGCGGACTCTGTGGTCCGTGTGTGGCAAGCGTGCCCCCCCCCCCCCGGGCCGCCCGCCCGCGCGCGTGCCGTGTCGGCAGCTCTCACGACTGCAGGTTGCAGGTGCAACAACCAGCATCGCTCGGTCCGCGACTCGGTGCACCGCGGTGCAGGCGGGTCCTGCAGCATCGTGCAGGTCCAGGTGGCGCCTCTCCTGCGGAGCGGGTCGTCCGGGGCTCGTCCGGGGGCTTGCCGTCATGTGTCAAAAATATAACGACACGGAGCGCTGCCTGAAAATGACACTCTCGCAACACCACTGACCGCCGGTGACCGCGCACAGGCGCACTGCGGTGCGCGCGTCTCTACCGTCTCTGCGAGATGCTCGACATCCCTCGCCTCCGTCCACGGTCTACTCTCCCCCCCCCCCCCCCCCGAGGTCTCGCAAGCCCCTCTCTGCTGGCCCGGACACCCATGGCATTACATCGCGTCCCCACACTGGTCGTGGTGTCTGCTCGGGAGCGGTAGTCTCATGCACACCCTCGCCACCCGCCCTCAATAGCGCGAAAGCGACGAGTTCGTCACTCGCGCCATGCCGTCGCCTCAACTCCCACGTTCGAACTCGCAGCGGCTTGCTGCGCGCGGGTGCGGGAGGGCTCACTCCTTCTTCTTGATGCCGGGCAGCGACTCGAGGTACTCGACAAAGTCGGAGTACTTTCCGATTTGCTGCGCCTTGTCGGTCCCCTTGTACTCGTTGCCAAAGTGGTCGAGCCCGTCCTGCGCGATCGGGGGGGGAGGAGGAGGTGCGGGGAGGAAGTGGAGGTGCGCGGGAGGGGGGGGGGGGGGTATGGGCATACCCGGGGGGGGGGGGGGAGGCCTGGGTGGCTCCTGCAACCGCTTCAGCTGCAGCTTTGGGGTCTCCAGGGGGGTGTTGCGCGCACGGTCGATTTTTTTTTTCCCGGAGCCGGGGGGGACAAGAAACTCGGCGATCGGCTTGTGCGCCCCCACCCCCCCCCAAGGCAGCGGGGTCATTTTGAAGTTTTCCCCCCCCTGGGAAGGGAAAAAGGGGGGAGGGGGGTCAAAAGGGGGGGGGGGGGGGGGCCAGGGCCCCCGGGCAATGTCTTTCCCCCGGAGAAAAAAGGGGGGGGGGGGTGGTTTCCCGGCAACCACATCCGGGGAGGGGGGGGGGAAGTTTTTTTTTTTTTTTTTGGGGGGGGGAATCCCCTGGATTAAGTTTGGGCCCCGGGCGAAAAAAACCTTTAAGGGGGGAGTTTTTGGGAAGCCGGGCCCGTTCATTAACGGGAGGATTAAGGGGGGGTCGCCCTAATTTTTGGGGGGGTTGAAATCGGGGCCGGGGCCCAATAAAGCCTTTTGGGGGGGGGGCGGGGGCGGGGAAGCGGTGGGGGCCGAAGCCGGGGGGTGGCCGCCGAAGGCTTTAACCCGGGGGGGGGGCGGGAAGGGCTCCCCTTGGGGCAAGGTGGAAAGTTTTCCCGGGGGGGCTTATTTTTCGGGGGGTCCCCCAAGCAAATGAATAAGGGGGTTTTCGGGGGGCCGGCGGGGGGGGTCCGAAAGAACCCCAACCCCGCATTTAAGGGGCGGGAAAAGGCCAAAAGCAAGCC